AGACTTTCTGTGCCGCTTGGCCTCCGGCTCCACAGCACTGGTTTCTTCAGCAGCATCTTCTTCATGGTGGTCATGACGCTTGACCGCTACATGGTCATCCTGCACGCTCACAAGGTGGCACGATATCGCACCCTGAGGTCAGCCGTCGCCCTGAGCGTGTTCGTCTGGACGCTGAGCTTCTGCATCTCTCTGTGTCATCTTCACGTCCGATGGGGCGGCTTGTGACGAACCAGAAAGCGATGACTGGAGGCTTTATAACACCTTCACAATGCATGTGTTGGTCTAGTGATCCCTCTGCTGGTGATGATCGTTTGCTACTCAAGGATCCTCCCCATGCTGCTGAACATGAGGAGTGCTAAAAAGCACCGTGTGGTCAAGCTGATCCTTTCCACTGTGATCGCCTTTTTCTTATTCTGGGCCCCGTATAACCTTTCCCTGTTCTTGTGGTTTCTAAAGTCTAAAGGGTTATTGCCAAAGGAATGCAGCGTAGCAGCCAGTGTAAAGGCCGCTACACACCCACCTGAGACAGCCTGTACCCATGAAGTGTGTTCGCTGTGATCAGATTAGGAGCCTGCAAAGAAATGCATTCGTGCTGTAGCTGTCACTTTGGAAAACTAATGTTCTTCATAACATCAAATTGGTTTTTTGTTTGTTTGTTTATTTATTTAAAGGCCAGTGCACATAGATCAACATTGCTGTAAACGTGCCAGTGTTAGCCAGCAGGCTAATTTTCAACTGTTGTCCTTTTGGCAAGATGTTAAAATAACCACAACAAGACTAGAGAAATAAAAACAAAATTAAAAAAGAATACACTCAGCAACAGACAACAACACATAGGACCAGACAACAACAGACAACAACACATAGGACCAGACAACAACAGACAACAACACATAGGACCAGACAACAGACAACAACACATAGGACCAGACAACAACAGACAACAACACATAGGACCAGACAACAGACAACACATAGGACCAGACAACAACAGACAACAACACATAGGACCAGACAACAGACAACACATAGGACCAGACAACAACAGACAACAACACATAGGACCAGACAACAGACAACACATAGGACCAGACAAACATGCAAACAGATGAAACACTATCATACTATGATACAGTGAAAAGTGTTCACATGTTTGATTGCTTAAAAGCCAGTTCTTAAGATAGTGGTTAAATGTATGATAGGAGGTGTTATTCCTTATCTGTATTGGTATTGTGTTCCAGAGTGTTGGTGTCCTCACAGAGAAACCGTTTACCAAAGGAACTGGACCTAAGAGGGTCTGCACAGCCCCTCTTAGGGCATACCTTGTGGTTCTGCTGTATCAAAGTGCAGAGTGGTGGTGGGGGTGCCTTGCCGTTTATGGGGCGAAGCCTGCGAGCTAGTTCAGGCTCGAGCACTCATGCTGCATTCACACATAACGCCCCGTGCCACTCTACAGCCAACCAGAGTGTCCTTAATGTGCCGCTCTATTGAACCTGCCAGATCTCTCTCCATGCATTGCTTGCTGCTGCTACTCTACGTCGCTGCTCGCTGCCCCCCCACCACCTGTAGGCTCGGGGGGGGTAGTTATTTAATCATCACTCATCGTGCTTTGTATATCTGTGGAGTGATGAGGCCCGAGCTGAAACATATTAAACGTCTGAAACATGAATAAATAAGAGAGGATTATTTGAGGAACACTTTATTAGTTCGAACAGAATCTCTCTTTTCTCTTCATATCAAAACAAAAACACATTTCATCATCGAACAGATTCAACCGCTCCTAATAACGCTCTAAATAAAAATCACTCATTCATAAACAACCTTTTTATTTTTCACCTCCTGCTGTGAGAACACCTGGTTTACCTGTGAACACCTGGTTTACCTGTGAACACCTGGTTTACCTGTGAACACATGGTTTACCTGTGAACACCTGGTTTACCTGTGAACACTCGGTTTACCTGTGAACACCTGGTTTACCTGTGAACACCTGGTTTACCTGTGAACACATGGTTTACCTGTGAACACCTGGTTTACCTGTGAACACCTGGTTTACCTGTGAACACCTGGTTTACCTGTGAACACCTGGTTTACCTGTGAACACCTGGTTTACCTGTGAACACATGGTTTACCTGTGAACACCTGGTTTACCTGTGAACACCTGGTTTACCTGTGAACACATGGTTTACCTGTGAACACCTGGTTTACCTGTGAACACCTGGTTTACCTGTGAACACCTGGTTTACCTGTGAACACCTGGTTTACCTGTGAACACCTGGTTTACCTGTGAACACATGGTTTACCTGTGAACACCTGGTTTACCTGTGAACACCTGGTTTACCTGTGAACACATGGTTTACCTGTGAACACCTGGTTTACCTGTGAACACCTGGTTTACTTGTGAACACATGGTTTACCTGTGAACACCTGGTTTACCTGTGAACACCTGGTTTACCTGTGAACACCTGGTTTACCTGTGAACACTCGGTTTACCTGTGAACACCTGGTTTACCTGTGAACACCTGGTTTACTTGTGAACACATGGTTTACCTGTGAACACCTGGTTTACCTGTGAACACCTGGTTTACCTGTGAACACATGGTTTACCTGTGAACACCTGGTTTACCTGTGAACACCTGGTTTACCTGTGAACACCTGGTTTACCTGTGAACACCTGGTTTACCTGTGAACACCTGGTTTACCTGTGAACACCTGGTTTACCTGTGAACACCTGGTTTACCTGTGAACACCTGGTTTACCTGTGAACACCTGGTACTTTTACCCCCCTCAAAGATCTGTAGTTTATTATTCTATAACTTTGTAACAATTGACAGAAAAAGCAAAAATAAGACAAGAGTTTTGTAATAAAAAAAAATCCCTTTCCGAGTTTTTACTCCTAAAATTCACCTTTTGTCAAACAACTTGATAAATGAGTATTTCTCAAAGTAGTGTGATTGGTCAACCGCTTATAGATGTCCCGCCCCTTAACCTATCACGTGCAATGTGTTGGAGCGATAGCCAATAGGAGCGCGAGTGTAGTAGTGATGTCCATGTGGTAAATTGTTCAGTATTTTATTCAGATTTTTTTTTGCATTTTGACTGAATTGTTGTTTTATTTAGAATTATTTGAAGGCATTTAATAATCTACTTTCTTCTTGTCAACAAATCTCAAGAAAAATAGTCAAAAAATATTTTCACAACAAAATGCAGAACGTCTCGCTAAATTATAATTTTAAAAACTTGGATTTTATAAAAAATTTCTATCAAATCTAACATTTAAATCAATTTTTTTTGTTCTCGTAAATTTTTGAGGGTTTTTCTCCTGTTTTGGGATTTTTTTGAAATTCTAATTTGTTGGATTTGTTGACAAAAATAAATAAAAACTAGCTCTAATTAAATGCACGACTTTCTAATTTTGGTCAATTTTTAGGCACTTTCTCCGGGAGTTTTCGTGCTTCACTTTTATGGGAAAATAATAATTTTTAAAGTTATAACTAAAAACAGGAATCAATCAAAGAAACATCAAAGCACGGCGTCGCAAAATCCCAAATTTTAAAGCAGAAAATTCAACATGTTTCCTTCAGTTTTTGATTGTTTTTTCTCTCCAGATCTTCACAGTTTGAATTGAAGCGTTTGCATAATTAAGTATAAAACTAATTGGAGCTTCTTCTTCTGTACAGTTCATGGGACCCTATGGAAGCTCTTTAGTGTCAATAAAACAAAGGATAACATTTAAGAAATTATAAAAAAAATAATCAGATTTTTGGACATTTTTAAGTCAGAATTGTGAGTTTTATTATTTAAAATTATATTTTTTAATGTTATTTAAGTGAGTTTAACTTTCACTTTGAATCCAAATAATGAGATAAAGAGTCACAAATGTGCCTTTTTTAATAAAAATGCTAAGATTATTAAAGTGAAAAAGATTGTTATTAAAAATCATAATCAATAAAAATATTTATTATAAGAGGAGCTTTTCAGTCGTTATTAATTAATAATAATCACAATTATGAGAAAAAGCCAAAAAATATAATTTAAATATTTATCTTTTTTTATTTTCTTGGCACGAATGAGCTTCCATACTTCGTTTCCAGGTGAAATTGAAGGTTAAAAGAAAAAGAAAAACTATTTATTTACATTTGTTTTAATCATCTTATTCTCTTATTTACATTGTGTTCGTCTGTGACGAGGGTCTCTACGTCTGTAACGAGGGTCTCTACGTCAGGAACGAGTAGTTTATCGGCTTTAAAATTCAGGGTGTTTTTATTAAAAATTGAGACGATGCAGAGCGAGCGTTTTCACTTCAAACCTTAAAAAAAAATCCATTCCTCGACGCATAAAAAACAAAATGGATGCCATAAAAATAAAATAATTCAGCCCTTTATATTCTGTCCGTTTAGCAGCGACACCTGTGTTTACATTTCTAACGAGAAGGAGAGAAGCTTCAGGTGTTTCAGGATTTAATTAAATATGTAACACACAGATAAACACTATGGAGGCAAATGAGTGCCATCGGAGGTTAAATATTTAAATATGGAGCCAAAGAGGCGAATAATGTTCTGGAAAGAACTGGAAAAGCTTCAGGATTAAAGTCGGGAAATCTAGGAGAAAATATGTGGATTTCTTTCTGAGATTTAAAGGATTTATTTGTGGGAAAAAAAATTCAAGATATCTAAAGAAAATTTCATTTTTTCCTCGTTAATTCAACACTTAATTCTTAAAAATATTTTACTAATTAAATAATTATTTTTGAAGAATATTCAAGTTTTCTCCCAATAAATCAGATTTCTTTCTGAAATTAATATTTATTTTTACTAAATTAAATTTCATGACAATTTCCCCCAAAAATTCTGGTAAATCAAATACATTTTCTTCTTAAATCGTACATTTCATTTTACAAAATGTCATCTTGGTTTCGTCAAATTATAATAATAATAATAATCTTGTAAATTCAGCAATTTAAATCTCAGAAAATTCACAAAGGTTTTTCCTAAAATCTCCACTTTAATGTCTGATTTTCCTAATTTCTCCTCAGAATGTTCCTCCACCTCGCGGCTCCACATCTTATTTATTTCCCCCACAACGCCTTCGATACGTCGCCTCAGTTTCTCTAACGTGAGGGTTTACAGTGAAGCTTCTTTCAGGATTGTTACCAAAACTTTTCCGTTCTTTTGCGTCCTCCAAAGATCTGTTTCCTGTCCAACGTCCGATCATCGTCCCTCGTTATCACCTCAATATCTCCTCGTTATCTCCTCGTTATCGTCCCTGGTTAATCGTCTCGTTAGTCGTGGACAGCTCGTCTTCGGAGGATTCTTCCGTCCTTCGAGCCACGTTTAAGTGCAAAAGCAGCTCCTATGCTAAGGTCTTTTATTTTGGTAGTGCGCGGCGCGTTCGACCGCTTCCTGTCTCGAGTCCTTTTTCAAAGAGAACTTCCAGTTTTTTATTTCCTACAGTTTCGCCCGCTGGAAGAACGCCTAAAGAGGAGACATCGGGACGTTATTAGTGAATAAAGTTATTAAAAACACGCTTTATTTATTGTAATTCAATCGGTCGTACCTTTATGTCGTTTTTCAGGACTTTCACGTCCGGCTGCTGAAGAACCTGACAGAGCTCCTGCGAATAAAGTCAACATTTTACAGCTAAACTAACTTTATACAGTATTTAATGCGACATAAAGACCTCTTTTTGTGCTTTTTTAAGACATTTCTTGCATCATTTTTTTGTATCTTCATATATTTCTTATTTTTCACTAAATCCAATAAAATATGGAGGCAAATTACAGGTATTACATGTTGGTTTTTGCTAATTTAATGTAGAAAATACGACGTTTTAAGTAAAAAATATGCGAAATAAAGTCCATTTGTATAAAGGCCTAAACACAGCAGGAGTGTGAGGAATAAACAACAGCATCATGCAAAAATACAAATTTACATAAAATTATTCATAATATTCATTAAATATCACAGAAAAACAACAGTTTGATAGAACATATTGACGTAATCAAGTCACAATTACAAGATTTAAGCCAAAAACCCTCTGTTATGAGAAAAGAGACGAAACTCAGACTCGTTCCCTCAGGTAAGCTCACCTTTGAGATCTCCGGAGCGACCTGCAGAGAGGGAAGATACTCCTGCTGCAGAAACTGGATAAACTCCAGACCCTGAAACACAAAATATCACAGATTCATAAATAAATGAGGAATACATTGCAGTATTTTAAATGTATTAAAATAAGAGTTTGTACCCGTTTGAGATGAATAGTTTTCAGCGTGATCGCACACTCCGACAGCGTCTGGAAGAAGAGAAACGTTAACAACACGTTAGACGTAAACAACAACAACATGACGCGCGTAAACAAGATGTCTCCTGACGTAAACAAGATGTGTCCTGACGTAAACAAGATGTCTCCTGACGTAAACAACAACGTGACGTAAACAACAACGTGAGTTCGGAGCTCCGTAAAAACAAAGCTGTCTCTGCCGCATGACGCTCTGTTTGATACTCAGATTTCTGGAGTAAAAAATATCAAAATAAAAAAAAAAAATGTAATCAAAATTCTATATAATTTTAAATTGTAATACAAAATCAAAAACAAATCTTAATCCATTAAATAAAAAAAAAAAAAAAATGTAAATCCCAATTATTTTCCCCTAAATCTTAAAAAAATCTAAATATAAGAAGAAAAAATTATTTAAAAAAAATCTATATAAATAAGGATCCCCAAAAAATCTAAGAAAATCTATAAATCCCAAAAAGTCTAAATTGAGAAAAATGAAAATCGTTAAAATATCCAAATCTAGCCCCGATGCAGAAAAAAACATGATATCCGTGTTTTCTTCCCGTAATGTAATATCTGAATCCCAGAAACTCAGAGTTGATTCCCTGATTACACATTTGTTTTTGGGGACCCTCACCAGAACGGTCTGAGCGTCTGAGAGGTCGAAGCTGGGTTTGAGCGGAGCGAGGAAACAGGCGGGGACGATGTGTTTGTAGATGAAGTCGGGGAATCCCACCATGCCGTCTTTCCCTCCTGCAGGAAGAGCAACACTCAGTTAGAAACACACAGAATACTTTAGATATATGTGTATATGTGTATATGTGTATATATGTATATGTGTATATATGTATATATGTATGTATGTATATATGTATATATGTATATGTGTATATCTCACCCCACAGCTCCACCAGCTTGGAGAGGATGATGAAGCAGCTCTTCTGGGCGATCGGGTCGGGGAAGTCCACGGCGCCCTGGATGATCGTGAACACGACGCGCTCGATGTTCTCCGCTCCTGGAGGAACATAGAAAACATTCATACAGTTAAGAAATGGGAAGATTCTGAGAAAAAACACAAATAAACGGTTTAAAAATCACAGTTTGAGGGCCATCGTAAAAGGAGAAGTACATCTTAAAAAAAGGAGGTGTTGTCGAGGATATTCTGAGAAAGAAAACTGGATAAAAACTTGAATTTTGTGTTAAATTTACTACAAAAAAATCCAACATCTGCAGGAAATTCTCTTCATTTGATGTTAGTCATATGTTGTCTGTTAGCTTAGCATAAAGACTGGAAACGGAGGGAAACTGCTAGCGTGTCTCTCTCGAACAGTGAAATAAAATCTTGTGTTTTTCACCGTTTTCTTCCATTTTAAGCAATAAAACACGTTTCTTTGAGCAGATTTTCCTCAGTTTCCTCTCAGATATTGAATGTTTCTCCGTGCACACGTACCCTGGTTGGCCATGACCTCGTTCATGCCGCTGCCGGCCACCGTCTGGATGAAGGTGAAGTAGCTCCTCCTCAGCATCTGCTTCTCCAGCGCCGCCGCCTGGTCGTTCTCCTCCGCCGGGCGGCCCAAAACCTCAAAGATCGAGAGGACCAGAGGCATGAAGACCTGCTGCAGGAAGGGGGATACCTGCGACTGCAAACGGGAGGAAGAAGAATTAATAATATATGTTATTATGGTTGTTATTAATGTAGAGAAAAGAGAGAAGCAGCGGCATGAAAACCTGCCGCAGGAACCGGAGGAAAAACATTGAAATCCCTGTTATTATATTACAATGTGTCCGTATGGAACAGCTGCCCTCAAAAGGCCGTCATCAGATTCAGTTTTGTTGAATATTTTCTGAATTTTAATCGGGAAATACTATAGTTTGTCTATTTGCGTCTGCAGGTTTCTCCTAAATTCACCAAAAGTTAGCATTCTAACGTAACATAAAGTACCGCGACCGCTGTTTGCACCATGTCATCAGAGGTATCGTTGGAAAGCTCCGTCTCTCATGCACAATCTCATCGGATCCAAACATGGTCATTTCCTTTGTATCAGCAACCAATCGTGAAAGTACAAAGGGGTCTTAACCTGTTCCACTCTGAGCCTGTTTTTCAGGTCTCAGGCTCGAAAATGACATTCCCAGAACAAATGACCATATCTTCCCTTCTAAAAGGGTTAAATTAATAATCTTTGTTCTCAAAGTAATGATAAACCTGTGAGTTGGATGTAGAAGTGTCAGAATCAATATAAATGTTTTTTATTTTAAAGAAAATTCAGATTTTACATAGTAAAAAACTGTAAATTTAGTGTCCATCCAAAAATTATTTTTTACAGATAGTGAAAACTACCCTTGGATGATGGGTTAGTAGACTAAAAGCTTTAGGAATCCAAAGTACAACATATAATAAGTACCCTGTATCAAGATTGATGCAAAACAAGTGAAATTTCACCTTTTTAGAGAGATTTAGCCAAAAACTGGGCCATCTGGGGTCATTTGGGTGGATTTGACCTATCTCTGGCCCCCCTTGCTCGATTTGGTTGGTTGACATACCCTTGTGACCGTTAGAGCCAATAGAATCGAAGGGGGAGTCTCCCACCCAGACACGTTGTAAAGAAAAAATGTGGTTGCTTCGCGTGTGGAAAACGAAACCAAAGTGGAGGAATGTCTCCTTCTGGAGTTTGGAAACTAAAACGCAGTTGTATTGCTTATGGATTATCAGAAATAATTTCAAAGAAGGCACAGACACATAGGATGAACCTATGGATTAACTGCAGCATCGTTTTTTTATCGTTTTAATGCCATTGAAGACCACTTTTGACCAAGGTAAGCCATATTTACGTGTTTAGCTTCTTAGCTCCACATGTGATGATGTACGCTTTCGTTTAGAGCGTCGCGAATGTTTATCACTGAGTGTTGAGGAGGGCACCGTTAGATTCAGTGTCTCCAGGACACCAAAAAAGAGTGGTTGGTTGTGCATCTAGGATAAGTAATAAGGGAGTTAGAGTGAGTTTAGTTGCCTTAGTATGTTACGTTTTTTTCGCTTGAGGCTAATTCAGAGGCTGAGTGCTAGCAATGTGGGTTTTTTTTGAAAAAAAAAATTAAAAAGATCAGTTAGCTGAGTTTCTTCCCGTTACATGGATATAACACATTCATAGTTTTATTCAATATTAAGATTCCTTAGACGTTGTTTCCTGCAAATGACGCGTTTATCTGCCCGGTACCGGGGGGAAGGTGTGAAACAGGTTAAACCAAGAAACAAAATCTCATTGGCTGGTGTCAATTTCTGACAACGTGATTCGTTCAGATGCGTCACGTGGTGTGCTAAAACACTTCCTGGTTAGCTTTCCGCTAGAAATTTAAATCTCAAAATGGCAAAAGAACGGCGAAAAAAACGTTCACAGAGAAGACGACAACAATTGTCACTTGCACGAAGCAAGGTTATACAAAAAACAAATGACCCCGAACATGAAATACCTTCACGGAGTGCGTCGAGGCGCAAGCTGTCATCCAAAGAACAGGAGGGTTTAGCTAGCGCCACACTGCAATCTTTAAAGGTTGTTTTCTCAAAATGAGTTTTTTCTCCTCTTCTGAGTCCGAAATGTCCACTTCAGTAGCACGTACATACACCAAACCTTCCAGTTATATTCCTATCAATATTATGAAGGCTTTTACAGAAGGGTTTGTTCATATATCATTCATAGCCTGAATTATATAACATTTTATACCTAAAAACATGGCGGAAATTGATATTTTAGGGCTGTTGACAGTATTTTCTGATTTATGGAGTGATAAAAAGAGATATCCAAAATCCCTTCTGTAAAAGCCTTAGATTCTAATATGACTACAAAATGAAACAAGAATATTGAACCTGGCTTTATCCAAAGTTCAGATTTCGATTCCTGAAATGTATTAAAATATGCGCATATCTAATGAGATAATGGCTCATTTAAACATGCTATTTCAGAAAACTTGTAATACAAAAAACAATTGTCTTATTGTAAGTAATTAACTGGAGAAATTTCTAGCTGATATCTTTAAGTTAAAAGAATTACCCTATTCCGTATTATGTGCCTTACAAATAATGGACGTCCACTCTCGGGAGCGTCGGAGTGGTGCGGTCACCCTAAGTGACAGACCTAAAGTATCCGGGATTCAGGCACCTTCCCTGACTTGTACATTTTTGGTGATGCGCCCTGGAGGTATCAGACTATTTTAAACAACTTTTCCCCGTCTTTCAAACACTTATTCCTGGGTTTTAGCCAGTCATTTTGCACGATATCGTTTAACATTGAGGCTCTCCTGAAAATGCACATATTCTGTGCATTTTCAGGAGAGCGTCAATGTTAAATGATATCGTGCAAAATGACTGGCTAAAACTCTCTTCCAGACATTTAAAAATACTTTCCCCGACCATTTAAACATTATTTATGGCTTGTAAAGTGCAGTTATGCGCCCGGCAGGTATTATACTATTTCAAACAACTTTTCCCCGCCTTTCAAACACTTATTCCTGGGTACAAGTGTTATCTTTTCCCCCCTGGGTGTGTGTGAGACAGGTGAACTGAGTCAGCCTGCCAACAAGCAGCAGTCTGCTGTCATTTTAAACAGTTCCCCCGACTTTTTAACACACTTTTACCCACGTTTTGAGCACTCATTCCTGAGTCAATGTGTCATCTCTTCACCCTGGTCCTGAATTAAAACAGTTCCCCGACTTTAAACACTAATGTGCCCATGATTCAGACACTTATTCCTGGCTAAATCTGTTATCTTTTCCCCCCTGGGTGTGTGTGAGACAAGGGAACTGAGTCAGCCTGCTAACAACCACCAGTCTGCTGTCATTTGAAACATGTTCCCCGACCTTTTAACACACTTTTTACCCATGTTATGCGCCCTGGAGGTATCAGACTATTTTAAACAACTTTTCCCCGCCTTTCAAACACTTATTCCTGGGTTTTAGCCAGTCATTTTGCACGATATCATTTAACATTGACGCTCTCCTGAAAATGCACATATTCTGTGCATTTTCAGGAGAGCGTCAATGTTAAATGATATCGTGCAAAATGACTGGCTAAAACTCTCTTCCAGACATTTAAAAATACTTCCCCCGACCATTTAAACATTATTTCTGGCTTGTAAAGTGCAGTTATGCGCCCTGGGAGGTATTATACTATTTCAAACAACTTTTCCCCACCTTTTAAACACTTATTCCTGGGTACAAGTGTTATCTTTTCCCCCCTGGGTGTGTGTGAGACAGGTGAACTGAGTCAGCCTGCCAACAAGCAGCAGTCTGCTGTCATTTTAAACAGTTCCCCCGACTTTTTAACACACTTTTACCCACGTTTTGAGCACTCATTCCTGGGTCAATGTGTCATCTCTTCACCCTGGTCCTGAATTAAAACAGTTCCCCCGACTTTAAGCACTAATGTGCCCATGATTCAGACACTTATTCCGGGGTCAATGTGTTCTCTTTTCCCCCCTGGGTGTGTGTGAGACAAGTGAACTCAGCCTGCCAACAAGCAGCAGTCTGCTGTCATTTGAAACATGTTCCCCAACTTTTAACACACTTTTACCCATGTTTTGAGCACTTATTCCTGGGTAGAAAAGACATGTGCTGTAGCCTGGTTCTCTCCCAGTACTGGGTACTAGTTAATGCCACTATCACCACCACATTTAAACCAGATGAACTGGTAGTTATCCGGGGTGCTGGAGAGTCATTTTCAGGCTCCTCTCCACAATTGTCCCCCTAAAATGATTTTAAATCATTATCTTTGCATTTCAATACATTTATTCTATCATTTATATGGTTCCCCAACACAATGCACATAGTCTGAAGCTCACTGGGGTCCTGCATATAATTTAATCAGGCGTTTTAACACTTTTTCCCATGAAAATGATTTTTAATCACTATCATGGGGCTATGAAAATCAAATTCCGGGTAATGCAGAGCACAATTGCACCTTTTACTATTTAAATGTATTTGTATTATATATATTTGGGCTAGAAAGGTGACCTCTCTGGGTGATTTAGTCAGTTTATGGAGCTTAGCCCACAAATCCTGGATGATCCAGGCCGAATTTGGGTGCTCATAGGCGGTCTGCCAGGCGCCCCCACCCGTGGAAAGCAAAAGAAAGTGAAGAAAACGGTTAATTATATCTTAAAATAATCAAAAATGAAGTTTTGAAAAAGTTTCTAAAAAATGACAGGGTGCCAACGGAGAAGGGGCTCAACTGTTTGGGGCTTTTTCCCCTTCTCCCTCTTAGGTGCCTTACAAACAATGGACGTCCGCTCTCGGGAGCGTCGGAGTGGTGCGGTCACCCTAAGTGACAGACCTAAAGTATCCGGGATTCAGGCATCTTCCCTGGCTTGTACATTTTTGGTGATGCGCCCTGGAGGTATCAGACTATTTTAAACAACTTTTCCCCGCTTTTCAAACACTTATTCCGAGGTTTTAGCCAGTCATTTTGCACGAAATCATTTAACATTGACGGTCTCCTGAAAAAGCACATATTCTGTGCATTTTCAGGAGAGCGTCTATGTTAAATGATTTCGTGCAAAATGACTGTCTAAAACTCTCTTCCAGACATTTAAAAATACTTTCCCCGACCATTTAAACATTATTTCTGGCTTGTAAAGTGCAGTTATGCGC